CCCTTAGGGCCAAGTGGCCTTCGGGCTGCCCTTGAGGTGCATTACCCCCCTCCCCCATGTGGGTTCGAAACCCACCTTGTAAACTTGGTCAAAAAAAAAATAAAAAAAAATAAAAAAATAAAAAAACCTTGTAAAATTAATAAACTTAACAAAACCTTCAGTGGCGATAGCCTCAGCCGCAATTATTAGAAAAGATCAATTTTGGGTTCGTAGGCCTATGTAGAGGCATCTATGGCTAACCAGCAAGAAATGAACCAAAAGCTTACTTTTAATATTTTCCCTTATAAAGTTTGAATGTTTTAGTCTCTCAATTTATATTATGATACTTTTAATTTATTATTTTATTAAATTTATAGGTTTAATATATCACTTTATATTATGATATTTTTAATCATTTAATTATTAAAATTAAACAAAATAACTCTTATTTTGTAATATTTTGTTAGTTCTGTTAAATAATTGTTAATTTTATTAGCTAACTGTTAGTTGATAAAAACTTTTTTTAAACAAATAGAATTAACAAAACTAATTTTATAATATTTCATTCATTCTGTTAACTGACTATTAGTTGATCGTTACTTAACAAAAATTTATTTTCAGTTAACAGAATTAATAGCCAGTATAAAGTAAAGATTATTTTCTTCGATTTTAATAAGTGAAGAGTTAAAACCTATAAATTTAGTAAAATCAAGAATTAAAAATGTTATAGTATAAGATGAGGGATTAAAACCTTTAAACTTGATAAGATAAAGGGTTAAAGTAAGTTTTTGCCCAAGAAATGAAGTGCCTTATTCGTTTCTGGAGCATTCCGCACAGCTTTCTGTTCTCGCAATGACTCGGGCAGTTGGGTGTTTTCTCACGCCTTAAAAAAGAGTGTCCGTGTTGATGAGAGATATTTTTATTAATACAAAAGAAAATGGTTTTGAAGTATTTTTTTATATTATGTTTTTATAAAATTTAATGTGTTATTTAAATAATTAATTTTTTTATTTATGTGAAACTTATAATATTAAATGTATTAACTTATTTAACGATATAAAAAATTTATATAAAAAAATTATTTCTATAATACAACTTATTACTGGTCTTGGTAAATAGGTCGGATTGGGTGGGTTTGAATTGAATTATTCAGATTGGGTAATTTCAAGTGTCAAATTTAAGAGATTGACCCATGAGTCATGACTCATCCACACAAGTTTCGAATTGGTCTAGTGGACCCAATTTTTAAAAAATTAAAATTAAAATTTAAATTTTTTTATACTTTTTTTATTATTTTAATAAAATTTAATACTAATTAATTATTTAGTTAAAAAACTTTACTATTAATTAACTATTTACTTAAAAAACTTTATTAAATGTTAATTTTCATTTCATAATTCAATTTTTTTTCAATCTCAAAAAAAGAAAAAGGAAAAGATTAGTGATTATATAAGTGAAACTAAAATATATGTCAAATATATAATACCTATACAATATTTAAAATTTATAATTTCATAAAAGTATTAACCTTCATTAAAAGAAAAGACATGAATGATTAGAGTTCAAAAGATAAATCCAATATATATATTAATATCTAATACCTATTCAATATTTATAAGAGTATTATACAAAAAATACAATTCTATTCAATATTTAAAGGGCATTATTCTAAAAATATAGCCGTTTTCCATATTAAAGTTTAAAAGACAAATCCAAAATATGTCTAACAAAATACAAGAAAAAATTGGATTGGAATTGATTTTTATTAATTAGGAACAAATTATTAATTAAGAACAAATTAAGAACTAAGAACAGATCTTAATGTTCTTGATATTCTTGTTTTTGTACTTTTAATAGTTATGAGGATACCTCAATCATTGGGTTTTGATTTTTAGTAGGCATTTTTGCTTTTTATTTTTTAAAAAATGATTTTTTTTACGACATCATATGACATAGCTCACTATATGCCATTTAATTTAATTTTTTACGCAAGTGCCATTAAAAAGAAGGATTAGAGAGCTTAAGATGAAAAAAGGGAGAGTGAGAGTGGAGAAGAGAAAAAGTTGAGAGAAAGTAAAATTGATGAGAAATTAGGGTTTGAGTATTTTATTTATTTTTACATCTAAGATTAGAAATTTAACATTAATTTTTAAATAATCTAATAAAAATGAATAAAAAAAAGCTTAGGTCATTTTGGATGACCCGACTCATCCGTAACCCAATCTATTTAGATTCAGATAATTTCAATTCAGATTATTTTGGATTAACATATAGGTTTCATGACCCTATCCATATAGAATGAATTGAATTGAATTTTTGGATTGTGTCCAATTTTATCAGTTCTACTCAATACAAAATTAGCTGCACTTATTCTGCCTATCATCCAATGATAATAAACAAAGTAGGAAAATCAAATGATGAGATCATCAGTTGAATGGGCATGACCATGATCAAAAGTAAGTTGGTGGTTGTGAAATATTTTTTAAATTGTCATATGATGTACTATCTTTTAGTAAGTGTAGTCATGGCTGGTATAATTTAAGGTTATAAAAATATTATTTAATTTGAGTAATATTTTATTAATTTATAATTTTTTTAAAATACTAAATTATAAAATTTAAAAATATTAATTTATAAATTAATTTTAATTTA